CACCCCCATTACCGCTATTGGCACGAGTTGACTCTCCTTAGTTCTAGGGTGCGTTCCGAGTTGCGCATGAAGCGCATGATGTATCGTTTTATTCTTCTTTATTATTTGGTGAACAACAAGGATAAATGATGCATCATGCGCTTCATGCGTAACTCGGAACCACGGACTAGTCTTCTTGGTTGACTGTGTTGTGATCGTATTCAGTGGAAAATTATTTACGCAATGACTGATAAAAAATTCATCAGGACAACATTGGACAAATGGAATCTGTCGAAATAGTATAACGATCGATTTATTGGTAAGTACACACGGGAACACAAATGGCTTCCTCGGGTGATAAAAATTGTTTAAAAAATTAACAAATTATTTATATCACTCTTTGGAAAGCGTTAGGATACATTCAGAACTATACGAAAAGTACCATAAAACTAACAGAACTCTTTGAAATCAGACAGCGTCTCATCTTCATTCTTTCTAAAGACTATTTTTTAGGGAACAAAGTTGTTTAAAAATCAGAATAATAATGTTAGGTGTCAGAACTCTTTGTAAACCTATGTATCTTTTCAAATCCTATAAGAAACTGTGGCTGAAAACTTTTTTAAACGGAGTTGGTCCCGTGTGAACTTGGCATTTTAAATTTTGAGTTTCTCGGGTTTAATGGCCGGAACTATTTATTTATCCTATAGAACTATTGAAAATAAACTCAGAACTCTCAATATTTAATGAGTTTCCACCAAGTGAGACGCTAGCTTCACACACACAATTTAATCATCAGTTGCATATCGAATCTTCAGATAAAGCTATATGTATATCTTTAAAGATATGAAATATATTTCAGAAGATATAATATATAAGTATATAATTATCGTGCGTATTATCTTTGTTAGAAAAATAATTTTATTATCGTAAATTATCTTTTGTATATAGGTACTATCTTCTCCTTCAAGTAATCTCGCATTAGACATTTTCATTATCACAATAAAAATGTAAATACAAGATAATTATGGGTTTAGGTAGGAGAATATTTCGGAGGCTTACGGAGAGAAAGAAGGTCGACAAGAGAAAACTTCGATCATTTTGAGGGAGTAAAGCATTCAACTAAAGGACCTGTTCCAAGCTCTACCTGAGCAGGTAAAGTGAGGCGCGGTCAAGGACCTTGACCCTCGATAAATGCTTCGCGAGGTGAGTTAATCTGAAGAATATTCTAGTCGCTTCAACCCGTTTATGGATAAAATTTATACATAACGATATGTAATAATTTGATAAACTATACGTAAATATGTGATATTTACCTACATATTTGAAAAAATTCGTTCTTCTAATGAACGTGTTTATAGATTCAGTAAACTCATTCATTATGTAAAATTTTATAGAAGTGATAAAATGCATTCATCATATTAACACATTGTTTTATTAGTTAATAAAGTCTGTACATTAGAATACACCGTGTGCATTCACCCTATTGATCTAATGTATAGACTTTATCTGGCCATCTTAAACATTTCTATAATTTTAAGAAATTTGTTTTTATATAATACATAAAAAGGAAATACTATTTACTTAAATACATTGTTTAATGTCTTAGTTTTTAATATTTAAAAAAGTTTTAAGGAAAAAAGCGAATGTATAATGAAAAAGTTAAATAGTTGCAAAAATTCCATTTTACACCATTTTTGGCCACCTACAGTGAATGGAAAAAGTATTCGCGTACAGAGAAAATATTTTAAAAAAAAAGTTTATTTTTAAAAAGTAAATATTATCCAGTGACAAATGAGTCATCGAATTAATGTCGAATCGATATCAATACGATGATTTCAACATCAATTTAACGTTTAATTGACGATTTCTTGTTGGGTAATTAACAATTTATTCATAAAGAATAAAATAAACTGTATATTTCTTAAAATTATATATACCAAAAAGATGTGTATTAATTACAGAAAATTTATCATCTGAAAAATAAACCAAAATTAAAAGTTGTATTGTTTGGATGTTTAAAAAGTATTTGTACAGTAGAGAAATTTAGCTTCTAAAATCAAGAATATATGCGAAGCTCATTTGTTTATGTTAGAACAGAATGTATTCATTGTATAAAATTGCTAATTAATGTTTATTTTCTACAAATAAGACTGTTTTTTATAAAAAATTTCCTTGTACGAATACTTTTTGCTTTCACTCTATATACTTCCTATCATTATAAAGCTGACTACTAATTACTTGATGACTACTATAGTATTGTTTGCTATACTTGTGTCATATGTAGTTATTGATAAATTATTCTATTTACCGCGTTTCGGGGATTCTTATCGTTTTTGACAAGATAACTGTGTCTTGAGTGTATTCCGTAGAAAATAATTTTTTTATAATATGAAAGAGAAAATGTGAGGTTACTTGTCACATTATTAAACAAGAGAAATAATTGCGACGCGCATGTGTCGTGATTGCTGCACACTAGAGCCAACCAAAACTAAAAGAACCTAATAAATAGCGAAGGTGGCCAAAATAGCCACAAACGCAGTGCATTCATTCTAATTGAATTCGTTATAGGTATGTATTTAAAAAAATGTTTTAAAAGGAGGAATGTTTTAGGGTAATATTTAATTGTATCAATGTACATACCTTTTTTATTGTTGCAATGAATTCTAATAATAATAATTTTATAACTCATATTCATCTTTTTATAAAACTTAAATCATGATGAGAATAAAATTGTTCATTGTACAAATTTTAATGAATTTTTTATTGTATTTACAGTATTTTATGTGTATATATTTATACATATATATATACATTTAAAAAATGATTTTTTTTAAACGTGACAAGACAAAAGCTTCTCATCAACAATTCTTATATATACATATATTTTTACATTTTCACGTTTTGACCATTTAGTTTAAATTTTTGATAATTGTAAATCAAACAATGTGATATAAATGCATAATGACGGATTTTAATATCAAACAAACATTTAGATTTTAAGGAAAAATATACATTGCGCACCACCAATAGCGCTAATTCCCATTAGCCATTATATTAATATTAATTTTTTATTTAAAAAACATATAACAGCGTTTTTGAATTTGAACGCTTGAGAAATTAAAATATGTATATGGGACTTCTTGATTAGTGTCTTATAGACATAACAGAAGACACTCAAATATCGATTAATATTTCTTATGATCAATTTTTATAATATCGGCAAATGTTAAAAATTTTTATAATTCGTAAAAATATAATTATATGTTTTATATTGATAAAAATTGGATTTGTCCGATAATAAAAAAAATAAATAAATAAGTTTAAAAGAAAGACTAAAAAATTAATAAATCCTCAATTAAATCTTTGTAAATTGCAATTTGAAGATAATGTCAATCTGTTTTTAATAATGGATAACTATCTAATGGAAATATTGCCAATTGCACGGATCATTATAATAACAAAAAACCGGCAATGTGACTCATTTAAGATAGCAAAGGCTAAAAGTTCATTTCATTAATCTTCATCAAAGTAGGCAAAATTTTCTGTAAATAACTATTAAATATGACAATTTACAAAATCATGATTATCTTCACTAAAGACACTAAAAATTCTAATTAATTTTTAAGTGTACGTATATCTTATTGAAGAATCTTTCTATTCCAATCTAAATGGTTTAAATCCCTCTTAAATGAAATTATTATATCACAAATCATTTAAAGACATTTTCTCTTCCAACTAAAGTAGTGGTTATTTAATTCTCCTTCAAAACATTATACAAAACATTATCACAAAATTGCGTTACCTTGCTCCATTTAAGTGTTACCACAAAAAATTAAAGAATTAACCGTATAAAATGAAAAAATTTAATTTAAATAGAAAAATTTTTCATGTAAAAACACTTGGCGCTGCTAAAAAGCATTTTTATAAATTATATTTTATTAAGAGTTGTTTATATATATATTTATTCTAATTACATTTTGAGGATTAATTATGTGATTCTGTTTAATCAGAATGGACTATTCTATTTTACGATTAGTTGTAGGCTAAGATCATTCTTGTTTTTGGCGGCAGACAGTTTGCTGCACGATACGTTTCTGTAACGTATCGTTGAACCAGAAATGCTAACCTGAAATCTTTTGGCCCATGTTCATGCCCCGGTGGTGGGAGCGATGGTGTGGGTGATGCCGGTGGTGATGTGGGTGGTGACGGTGTTCCGTGCACTGCTTGCCGGCAGGCAGTTTGTGCCTGTGGTGTCTGGTGCCGCAGGTGGTGGTGGTGGTGGTAGTCGTGGTAGTCGTGGTGGTGAGGTGATGATGATGGTGATGGTGGTGGTGGTGATGGCCGGTAGTCGGTGGTGCAGTAGGCACCACGCCACCGTCTATTCCTCCCCCGCCGCCGCCGCGGCCGCCTGCAGTACCTGAACCGCCTCCGGTACCGCCAGTCGCCCCGTTTCCGCGGCTAATGCTCCCGCTCACGCAACGATTCGCTTTGTACCTGCAATGCGAGAACAGAACGAGGGCATGTTAATTCGTGTGCGTTCTGAGGGATGGAGAGAGAGAGAGGGGGGGAGGGGAGAGAGAGAGAGAGGGGATAAAGGGGGACAGAGGTTGATACGTGAGTCGGGATCGATATGCGAGGAAGGGGGAAAGTGATTTCGGCCGGGGGGTGATTTTCACGGTCGGCGAATCTGCAAGAGCGATGCGTTAAATACTTATGAGAACGCATCATCAGAGATGTGTAACGTTTCGTTCGACCATGAATTGATTAAAATCGATGTCCGTTTACAAAAATTTAAAGAAAATATATGTCATTTCGATTTTTTAATTCCGGAAAGCTAATGTCAAATTGTTTGAAATAATATAAGAGAAAGTGAAATATCTGTTAGATATAACCGCATTCATGTAGGATATTTCATTTCTGTACATGACAGAGCAATAGGGTCGTTACAGATGAAGGCACATCATGGTTCACTGTCCGCGTATTGTAAGAAGATTATGTTAGTTTTGGCAAGAAAATCCAGGTTTATCATTATGCTCGCGTCTAATTTTTCTTTGTTCTACTTTGGACGAACCTCTAGGGATTTGATGCGGAAAACTGCACTGAATTTTCGCACGGGAAATTATGTCGACGAGAGCGTGCCTCTAGATTCAAATAATTCGAGGTGCGCGCTTCGTCTGCGGGTACAGAAAAAAACATGTCCAAGCGAATCTCGATTAATCACGTTTTCCTATTTGCGAGAGCTTTGCAGAACGGATTGCCACGGCGTATGTATAGTATATAAGCGTGGAACGAATCGCGGAAACCGATTAATTCTTCCTAGTGGATGAAGTACACGCAAAGTAGCATTTTCATCACGAGCCTGCAATTTCCGTACTATTCCCGTATCTTTCAGGATGGCTAGTTTATATCGAATTTTTCAGATGCTTAGGAGCAAAATAACAATGTAAAAATGAAAAGCTAATTATTTAAACTTTTCAATCTGTAATTATTTTAAATAGTAATAATCTAATATTTTCTCATCATATTATTAAAATACAGAAAAATTTGAGAATTTTATATTCTATATATATCGCGATTATATATATATTGAATCTAACGATTTTAAATATACTGAATGATGTAAATAAATCGAATTAAAAAGAAAAGAGAAAGAGAATGCTGCGCCAAAATCGCGTAAAGCTGAGTTATAATTCTACTTCAACATTTTCTTGGCGTTTATTAAAATTTGTGTCATTAAGATTATGCGTAACATTAATCGAAGAAAACCTCTGAATGAGATTACATACTGTGAATGACCGCATTTAACTGATGATAAATATTACTGTCTAATCGCGTTACGTTGACAATGCGTTGTAATCAAGATTCTTCGAAATTTATTTCTATGCAATATTTTCAGCATTTAAAAAAAATGTATGCTAAGATTAAAGATATATATGACTAAGAGCAGTTATGCAAACGACTGATTTATTTAGTTCAAGAGCAGCATAAGTAGAATTTTTAAACGCAACAATATTAAATCGATCGTGGTATCGTAGTTTATTCACGTAAATCGAGATGCAATTTACATTTTATGATTTTCAAGCTTACTTTATTATACTTTATTATACTATATTATTATAGAGAAATGTTACGTCACTTACAAGGTAAACAGCTTTAAGTATAAATTCCTTTACGTTCTCCGATCATTCAAGAATGTTACTATTACCAATTTCTCTATGAAATTAACGCGATCGGCATCTGTAGGTAGATAATCATTACCTCAGAATGTGACAGGGTGTGATTAACGTAGAAATGAAGGTTCACGAACGCGTAGAAATATCCGGATAAGACTACGACAGTGACCTTCTTGGTAGAAATATAGCGCGTTATACGTCAGAGCAGACAAGGTTAACGGTGATACGTGATGATAATTCTTACCTACTTGGCGAAAAGAAGAGAAGCGCGAAGAACAAACGAAGAATATTGGTAGAACTCGAAAGTGATAATAGGTAACTTTTCGCGTGAATACCACGCAATATAATGAATATAATTTGACCAGGAATTTTGTTCTAAATAAGAAAGAACATAACATTCTAGAGAATCGCACCTCTATAATACTTCTCTGGAGAATCAAAAGAAAATACGTACGATACGTTTCGTAACTTCATAAATTTATTTTGCTTTAAAAATTTATTTGATTACATCTTTATTCTATTTTTATATTGGAAAATGCACGAAGAAATATCTACAGTCGTAATAAATTTTAGTATTCGCGGTTCAAATTTCTAATTGGCAGTACAATTTGAAACGAGAAATAGTGCAATTCGATCTTTTCTCAAGTCTGTGACATAACGTAACGTATGCTAACCGTAACTCGATCGTTCATCGTATCCGTTCGTCATTGTGCTGGTTTCCGGTCGTGGACACCGGACATTGGCATCCTGAATCCGGTCGATTCGGTTTCACTCGCGATAATCAGTGCCAGGAAAAAGAAATCTCTTGCGGAAATTCATGAAAAATATCCCTTGCACCGATAGAAGAACCGGGATTACTAATCGCGATGAGTGAGCGAAAGTCGCAAGTATCAAGTTATTCTGATGTTCATTATTATAGTGCAAAAGGGAAGCAAAATGCCAGGACAACTCTCCGAGATTAAATTTGCGCGTGTTAAACATTTCTTGGATGTGACAGTATAAACATAGTATAAATAAGAAAGTAGTTAACAATTATATCAACAATTATCGTGATATATTCTGGATAGTTTGATAGAACTTTCCGTTGGCTAATTGTTGTTTGTTAATAAGTCTAGTGGATAGCCCTGTATTTTCGCCATAAACTCGTCGCGCTTCGTTGATACTCGTTTGTTCATCAGACTTTCAATACAAAGTTTGACGGTAAATTAGACTTGTATCTTGTCTGGAAGAAGAGCTCGCGCGAAATGTCGCGAAAGCGAACGGCAATCTTAGGTACAAACGATTTAACTTTCTTAACTCGCGTTCTGAATTGATGAAAACAACATAATTTGCACAACAACTGGGTATATATTATATTAATTTCAAAAAAGAAATCCTAATAAATAATATCGATCAAAGCGATACGTTACTGGAAACGGTAATTGAACGAAACGGTGATTGAACTCGATCTCGAATGTCCTTCCAAATAATTGTGAAACACTCATAATTAATCATCGCGCTATGGCAAATGAATAAATCATTAGGATTGTGTTGCCGCACGGCGAACAGGAAACGCGGTCGAGAAACCGCGAATTTAATTTCCCGCTGCGCGGGAAGTAAATGAGTAAGATGCCCTTTGAGCTGCGCGGGCCGTTCTTGGCAGTCGTCACGGTACTGACCGCTATAGAGCAGGCGTTTCATTTGAAGTCCATTAATGGCATTTATCTCTTTTAACCGCGGCGGACGTCGTCAGCGGGAACGATATCGCCTTGAGTGTAGAACGAAGAGAAAGTACTGAAATCGACTTCCTCAACGTTTACGCACCGATTCGGCTAATTAAAACACTCGAAACAATAAACAAAAGCCCGTATCATTACTTTGCCAATACTGTTCATCGAAAGTTACATTAGCATAGACGAGAATTGTTATAATAATTATAACGCTTTGAAATGTCTTTTAATTTCTACGATCTTAATAAAGTTTTAGATCTGTGTGTAATTGAAAACGAGAGTTTCAGTTTTTGTTGGATTAATTCAAACATAAGACTTTTATTGCCAAGAAATGACTCTAAAATTATTTTAACTGTTAAAAGTTTATTATGTTACACAAACATGTGTTCAAAGGATTCTTGGTGATTAAACATCTTTCATTCTTTTTCAGAAGTGAATTCTCATTCTAAGTATAAAAATACTGTTGCTCTCAATTTCGAACTATCCCATCTCTGTGGTTAGAAAAAATTTCTAAAAAATTCCTAAGCTGTCTAAAAGCTAGTGTAAAAAATTCACATCCATTTTTCCAACAAATATACTCGATATACCAAAAAATTAAACCACTCGCAACAAATTCACTTGGAAATAACCTACACGAATCGGTCTGGACCAAACGGCATTTGATTTCGAGACGAAATACGAGAACGTCGGCGGTTCGAACGCTATGGAGGCGCTCGACCGGCGGCGGTATTGATCCGCGGGGGTCACCTTTGCCCCACCTCGACACGGGACCAACCTCCAAATCCACCCCTGCCCTGCCCTTCAGTCCCTCGCACCACGCGAGTTCTCATGACCGACGGGCACTACCACGAACTCCTTCTGTAAAATAGACCATCGAAAATATCCTGGCGAAACTCCAAGTTACACTCCAAGTCACTGAAGATCTTTTCTACGCGTTGATAAGGAAACCCCTTGAAAATATCGGAAACTTTCATGTATTATATGTATGAGACGCAGATTCATATGAGAGCACAGAAACATATCGACTGCTAAGCACGACATTCTCTTTAATTTTTAATTTCTTAATTTAATACTATCGCTAATGATAAATTATAAACAAAAACATGCGATATCTATGACATACTCCATAAACTTGAGAGACAGCTCGGATTATTGAAGTCGTTGATCAGTTTCTAAATTTATAATGATAAAAGCTTTTTCTTTTTTTTATGTAAAGGATATAATATAATGTTTTTTTCCAAATTATAAAGTCTGTGACAGCAACATTTTTCCAAAACGGTTTCATATGAATGTCTGTATATGTAAATAAAGATATATCTCCTCTAATAGCTGCACTATTGTAAGGTCCTGCAAACGTGCACGTCTGTATGGCGAATAAATATTTGCTACCGGCGTGTGATGACGGAGATGCCGCGTTAATTGTTAATTTACAAATTCTCGCGCGCTCGTTCCGTCGCGGTTGCGTAAATATTTAGCGTGTACGTCAATGGGTATTTCGTTTCATGCAACGTTTAGTTTAACGTCGCGCATCGCGGAATTCATATTTTCACGCGCACAACAGTGATTCGTAATGGTCCGCGAGCACGCTTTACAGCGATTAATTTGTTAATTA